AACCTGTTGTATGCCACCTTGAGCCTGCCTGTGCAGGCAAGGCGGGATATAAATCGAAATTAATAAATAATAAATAAATAATAAGCAGCAGAAGATAGCCGGTTCCAATACGGGCCTGACGGAAGCCCTCCGGGGGGGGGGGGGCCTGATCTGGCCCCCGGGCCGCATGTTTGACACCCTTGCTCTAGAGGGTTACTGCCTCTGGCCATGGAGGCTCCATTTTGCCCTTGTGGCTAACAGCTGTTGAGGGACTTCTCCTCCGTGACTTTTCCTCTACCTCCTTTTTACAGCCAGCTCAACTAGCGGCCCCCACCACATCCTGTGACAAAGGATCCCACAAGTTAGTTACTCTCAGGGGGGTTAGCGTTTTTTATTTTTGTCTGCCCTCAACCTACTGCCCATCAACCTCACCTGCAAGCTCTACCGTAGTTCCCCTTTGTGGCTCCTATGCAGACTCACATGGGACCACACACGCGTAGTCCGATATGTGCCTGCCCAGGAGACCACTCGATGAACAACAGTCATTATCGATACCGCACACACACTGCCATACGATCGTTAGTAATTAATTATTATGACCTCCTCCTCTTTGCCTCCACCGCAGGGTGGCTGAGCGCACCTCGGTCACTGCCGGCCTGAAGGGCTGTATCCGCCTCCTGGACGTCAACAACCAGATGTACGACCTGCGGGAGAAGGGCAGCGACGTGCTGTACGGGAGCGGCGTGGGCGAGTGCGGCAACAACCCCTGCCAGCCCAACCCCTGCCACCACGGCGGCCTCTGCCACGTCAAGGAGGCAGAGATGTTCCACTGCGAGTGCCTCAACGGCTACACAGGTGGGCGGGAGAGAGCAGTGTTCACTGGCCGGCTTTCTTTAATTCAGGTGTCTTTCTCGGAAAAGGTTCACGTCCCTGCTTTATATCCCGGGCCCTTCCGGATTCCGCATCCTGCATGAATTCCACCAGTCAGGGTGCTCAGAGCAGAGGCTCTGAGACGGACTCTAAGGACACCCGCTGAAAAGCGTGAGCCGACCTCATTTCCCAGGCCCCTTCTCTTCCTCCAGGACCCACCTGCGCCGACGAGAGGAACCCCTGCGACCCCAACCCGTGCCATGTCTCCGCCACCTGCCTGGTGCTGCCAGAAGGGGGCGCCAAGTGTGAGTGCCCAATGGGTCGAGAAGGGGAGTTCTGCGAGACAGGTAAACTCTGACGCATTTACCTCTTAAAATATTTGTGTGTCCCCCCACCCCACCTCAAAATACTTGTATTTATTTACAGAAAATTGAATCCCATTTTTTTCTGTGTAGAAAGGACTCTCCCAGCGTCTGAACAATCACAGCAGTCTTGCTAAAGCAAGTCAGACCGTAATCCCATAGCAATAGTATATGTACATATATTATGTATATGACGACCCAGCACGGGGCTTTCAAGGCAAATGAGAAGCAGAGGTGGTTTGCCGTGGCCTCCCTCGGCGGGGTCTTCCTTGACGGTGCCCCAGCCAGCCAGCCAGCGTGTGGTGTAGTGGTTAAAGAGCAGTGGAATCTAATCTGGAGAACCAGGTTCGATTCCACGCCCCTCCACAAGAAGCCTGCTGGGTGGCCTCAGGCCAGTCACAGTTTTCTCTCCGCTCTCAGCCCCCACCGGACTCACTAGTTGCCTCTGTTCTGGGGAGAGGAAGAGAAGGTGATTGTAAGCTGCTTTGAAACGCCTTAAGGTAGAGAAAACCGGGATATAAACACCAATTCTTCTCCTTCATCCATAAGAACATAAGAGATGCCAATGTTGGATCAGGCCAAAGGCCCATCCAGGCCAACACTCTGTATCACACAGTGGCCAGAAATACCAGGTGCCATCAAGAGGTCCGGCCGTGGGGCCAGGACACTAGAAGCCCTCCCACTGTTGCCTCCCCCAAGCACCAAGAAGACAGAGCCTCACTTGCCCCAGAGTCCCTATCTATACCTTGTGGCTAATAGCCACTGATGGACCTCTGCTCCATATGCTTATCTAATTCCCTTTTGAAGCCATCCATGCTTGTAGCGAATTCCAAGTGTTAATCACTCTTGAAGAAGGACTTCCTTTTATCCGTTCTAACCCGACCGCTCAGCAGTTTCATGGAGTGCCCACGAGTTCTTGTATCGTGAGAAAGGGAGAAAAGTACCTCTTTCTCTACCTACTCCATCCCATGCATAATCTTATAAACCTCAATCATGTCACCCCTCAGTCGTCGTTTCTCCAAGCTAAAGAGCATCCAAGTACTGGCCATGGTTAGAGTCCAAGATCAGACAAGATCGGGCTATGCCATACCGTTCCACATCCAGTGATTAAACAATAGGCATTTGTTTGGGCTGGCCTGGGCTATCCAGGCTGGGGTGGCCTGTAGCCTTGATGGCTTTAAAGGGGGACTAGACAAATGCAAGGGAGCTGCGGTGGCTCAAGTGGTTAAGACGCTGAACTGCAGGCTGTGGAAGGTCACTAGTTCAGCAGTTCGAGACCCGGGTGCCGCATGATGGAGTGAGCTCCCATCTCTAGTTCCAGCTCCTGCCAACCTAGCAGTTCGAAAGCAAGAAATTGCAAGTAGATAAATAGGTACCACTTCGGTGGGAAGGTAACAGTGTTCCGTGCGCCTTGGTGTTTAGTCATGCCGGCCACATGACCACGGAAATGTCTTCGGACAGCACGGGCTCTTCGGCTTGGAAACGGAGATGAGCACCGCAACCCTAGAGTCGGACTCGACTGGGTTTCGAGCAAGGGAACCTTTACCTTTAGACAAATGCACAGAGGGCACCTCCCTCAGTGACTGAATCATAGAGGACAGCTTCCTCTATGGTGACGGAATGGAGTGTACCTCTAAATGCCAGTTCCTGAGATACAACAGCTTTGACCTCCGTGCCCTTCTTCTGGGGGCCTCTAGTTAACCGCCGTGGGAAACGAGACGCTGGATCAGATGGGATTTTGGTCTGATCCAGCATGGCTCTGTGTAGGTTCTGGGAGGGCGGAATTAAAGAGTCCCCTTTCATGGTTGCATGGCGCTGCCCACTTTCTCAGAGGAGGACTCAGCCAACCCCAGCAGTGCCCGTTCTTCCCATGCCGCCTCTCCCTTTTTTCCTTCACATTCCTCCTTTCCCTCTCTCCTCCAAACCAGTCACGGAGCTTGACCAGACGGTGCCCTTCCTGCCAGAGTTCAACGGATTCTCCTACCTGGAGTTGAACGGCCTCCAGACTTTCGTGCCGGAGCTACAGTACGTTGATCTGTTTTCGTTTCACGTTTCCCCTGCAAATAAAGGTTTATTGTTTAATGGGACGTAAGCCTGCAAGGAAACACACCTTCTTTTGGGAGTGGAGAGGAAGGAGAGTTGTTTTTACAATCAGATACCCTTTTATCCAGGAATGGAGCAGGCAGTATTGAAAAGCTGAGGGCCACCTTTATTGATTATCCAAAAGGAACAGTAGTGTAATAGGATTGTTCTTTCCCATACAAGTCTGTCTGTTGGCTCAGATGTGATTCGTGGCCCATGCTGTGAATTAACAACATAGACAGGGCCTTTTCAGTTGTGGCACCTTGACTGTGGAAATTGCTCTTTCCCGACAGCTGTTTGCCCAGCAATAAGCTTGTTTTTCTTTAGGTGCCAGGTGAGAAAGTTGCTGTTTCCCTAGCTACTTCTGCAGTGGCCCTGAACTTTGCAGCGTGTCACTCTAGATAGCTGGGTTTCATTATATTTCTTGCCGTTGGTTTTCTGATTCTTGGGAGGTTTTTTTGCATTTTTCCCCCCTTTGATAGTTGGAACCCCACCTTGGGACCAAAAGTTCTAATAGATGAATTAATTACGTCGCAAATGTGCGGCTCGCTGGGCAGAGGAGGGGGGACTTCTAAAGCAAGTGAAAAATCAAAATTAATGCAATTAACACTCCATTCAGCGTCCTAACCTGAAATCAAAGCCAGCAGCCGTGAGTCATTGATCTTAGCAGACATTGAAGGTTTGAGTAAACAGAAGTCTTCAAAGCCTTCTTTAAAAAAAAAAAAACTTCATTTCCTGGGTTGCACAAAATTCAGCAACCAACTGGTTCCACAGTCTTAAGGCCACAAAGGGAAAAGGCCTCTCAGTTCATTTGCCTGATATTTCATAAAGCCACTTAACTCTGTTGCCGTCTGCAGGTCTTAATGAGTGACAGAGAATCCTTTTATTAGGATCAATGGAACTGACCCCAAAACTGAGACCAAGCCTTCTAGCTGGCCATTAGCAGCAGTCTTAAAAGAGAATGAGGGTGGAGTTAGGCAGACTTAATGATATGCGGTATGAAAAGATGTCGGGTTGCCCCAAAGGCGACAGAGATGCAGTGGCCCCTTTCCCTTTGGAAATATAAAAGCCAGCAGTAATTTGTCTCTGTCTCTCTCAGCAGTTTTTAGATTTTAGGAGCAGTTAAAAGCCCGCTGGGGAAACGTTGCAGGCAAAAGCACATCATTAAGTGAGCCGACCTGGTGTAGTGGTTAAAGGTGTCGGACTAGGATCTGGGAGACCTGGGTTCAAGTCTCCACTTGTGCCATGGAAGCTCGCTGGGTGACCTTGGGCCAGTCACACGCTCTCAGCCTGGCCTACCTAACAAGGTTGTTGTGGAGATAAAACAGAGCAGAGGAGAATGATATAAGCTGCTTCGGGTTCCCATTGAGGAGAAAGATGGTATAGAATTATTATTAGTATTATTAGTATTTTCATTTCTATACTGCCCATAGCCGAAGCTCTCTGGGCGGTTTGCAAGTATACAAACAGTAAAATACAGCAGATAAGATGTTAAGAATTAAAAATTAATATAAGATCACATTAAAAAAACATTAAACACAGTAGACCAGACCCAAAGAGACCTAACCGAAAGTGGAAGAAAAGTACCTGGCTAATCGTATCAGGCCTCTGCATGACCGGGGAGGTCTTTAAAGGCCTCCGCAAAGAGGGCTGTCTTAACCGGGCGCCAAAGAGATGGCAAATTTGGCGCCAGGCAGGCCGCAGCAGGGAGGTTGTTCTGAAAACGGGGGGCCACCACCAAAGAGGCCCTCCCCCTAGTTGCCACCCTCCGAGCCTCTTGAGGAGTTGGCACCCAGAGGAAGGCCCCAGAGGTTGAGCATGGTGTCCGGGTAGGCTCTGGGTAGGTTGAGGCTGGGAGAGGCGCTCCAAGAGATATTGCGGTCCCAAGCCGTGCAAGAGCTTCATAGGCTAAGTAAGTAAGGGTAAGAAGGAAGTGATGACGTGGTAGATAGCCATCCCCTCCTAGACTGAGTCCCCTTCCTGCTTCATCTGGTAGGAGGTTTAGTCAGAGGGAAACTGCCAAACGGCGTTCACGATCGATATTTCTGAAACATAATCGTTGAGAGTTGTAACTTAGCAATGTTGACACTCACGGCCCTCTCAGGGATTCCTGGGGGTGAACATGATGGGATTCTCGGGTGTCTTTTTAGCCACTGCATCTCCCCTGGCGCCAGCGAGACTCCAGTGAAACGACACCACTGAGCAGTGTTCCCTCTAAGCTGAGTTAGTGTGAGCTAGCTCCCAGTTCTTTAGCCATTTTTGTCTTGGCTCAGGAAGGAGGGCTCCAGAGCAAACTAATTTATGCAGTCGCCAAATCGCTCGCTCACAACTTTGATGCCAGCAACTCACAAAGTAGAATTGGTTGCTCCACGGCTTAGAGGGAGCGTTCCCGCTGAGTTGCCATCGTTCTGCCAGGCGGAGAATGGCTGGGAAGCCACAGCTGAGAGCCAGCTGTTTTCTTCCTTAGGGACAAGATGACCATGGAAATTGTGTTCCTGACCAAGACCCCAAGTGGCATGATCTTCTACAACGGGCAGAAGACAGACGGCAGAGGGGACTTCATCTCCCTGGCCCTGCACGACGGCTACCTGGAGTACAGATACGACCTTGGGAAAGGAGCCGCTGTGATCAAGTACGTTCCTAGCCTGGATGGGGGGTGGGGGTGGTTGTTATTAATTCAACTTATACCCGACTCTATCCCACAAGTGGACTCAGGGCGGCTAACAGCATGCAGTCCATAAAACAATAAAACAGTCAATGGCACAGTAGAGAATATCATCAAACCCGATGCCCCCTATCAGATGCCTGTAGGTGCTCCAGTGCCCAATAATATTATCTGACAGCAGGCACTGGGAGAGGGGCCATAAACAGAGTTCTCTCAGCCTTGCCCACCTCACAGGGTGTCTGTTGTGGGGAGGGGAAGGGAAGGAAATTGTAAGCCGCTCTGAGTGAAGGGCAGGGTATAAATCCAGGTCTTCTTTTCCTCCTCCTACTCCTCTCATACATTCACCATGCCCTTCCCAGGAGCAAAGAACCGATCCCACTGAACACCTGGATCAGCGTCTTGCTGGAGAGGAACGGACGCAAAGGCGTGATGAGAATAAATAACGGTGAACGGATCATGGGGGAGTCTCCGGTAAGTGGGCGCATCCCCTGAAGCCCAGATAGCGAAGGACGTTTGTTTGTTTCCCCCCCTGAAATGGGTTAGGGTGGCTTCTTGTAGGCAGAACAGCAAGTAAAGCCCAAAGTCAACGGTTTAGGCAGTGCTCTCTCTCCAGCTCAGACAAGCCTCGCCAGACGTTTGGGACAATTGCCGAGATCTCCCTAAGCACCTCAAACCATTTAGTTCGGTGTTTTTCAGACAATAAGAAGAGTCCTGGTGGAGTAGCCCCAACGGTCTGTCTAGCTGAGCATCTTTCTGGGAGAACGCACTGGAATGGAGTTCTGGGACCTCTCTGACAAAATTATTTTTAAAATGTTTAAAACCTCATGAGTCAGTATACAGACTGAAAGCTTCATTTCCTTCCTGAGAGTTCCGGCACCGCCTTTAAAAAAAAAAAAAAAACCCGGCTGAACGTAGTATTTCCAGGCACCATGGATCTCCGAGGAGTTCGTGAAAGGGCACAGCAGGGCTTTTTTTGTAGAAAAAGCCCAGCAGGAACTCATTACCATAATAGGCCACACCCAACAGGAGAAACTCATTAGCATATTAAGCCACACCCCCATGTTACCAGAAGTGTGGTCATCCAGCCACACCCACCTTTTGCTTCTTATTCTGTTTACCTTGTTTGTTGTCAAAACCCAGGGCCTTTTTTTGTAGCAGGAACTCCTTTGCATGTTAGGCCACACACCCCTGATGTAGCCAATCCTAATGATTTCCTGCTGTTGGGTGTGGCCTATTATGCTAATGAGTCCCTGCTGGGCGTGGCCAACTCAGGAGCCAGCCGGAACTCCGTTCCTGTGCGTTCCTGCCCAAAAATAGCCCTGGGGCATGGAGTCAGAAGAAGCCCGCCCCCTGGTTTGTTCTCGGGGTATTCAGGGATACACAGCCTCTGAACTTGGACAGCCTACACCAGGGGCCCAGGGGTGCCATGGTACCCGCCGAAGCGCTTTTAGAAAATGGGCGGGGCTAGGTGTGGCTTTTCCCCAGCGGGGCTTCTGACTGGCTGTGCAGATTAAAAGCCAATCCCATTCAGCAGAGCTCCTGCCTCGAATGTTGAAAAGGTGCTATTAAACTGGGACATAATCTTGAGCCCTGACGTTTTACGGTTCGGTTGACCTGCCGCCGCAGCCGTTTTTGTGATTGGGGTCCCCATCCTTTGTCAGTATTCCAAAGGTGCCCACAGGCTCAAAAAGGTGGGGGGACCCCTGTTCCCTATCCTCTTGCATCCCTGGAATTCGTAAAATTAAATAGTCACAGAGTGAAGAAACGTTGCCTTTTTGCCTGCCCCGATTCAGTGTCGGTGGGTGACCCCTGAGAGTCCTAGCTCTCTGAGAGTGGCTGCAAACAAATTCTCATCTTTGTTTCCCCCAAACGAAGGTGGGTCGCCGTGCTGGTCTGAAGCAACAGAACAAAGTTTGAGTCAAGCGGCACCTTTAAGACCAACAACGTTTAATTCTGGGTATAAGCTTTTGTGTGCGTGCACACAAAAGCTTATACCCAGAATTAAACGTTGTTGGTCTTAAAAGTGCCGCTGGACTCAAACTTTGTTCTGTTCCCCAAACGAAAATGTTTTTGTGTATCCTTGTAGGACCAGCAGTCCAGACCCTTGATCATTTCGGCCGCTCCCTTTTATTTTTTGGTGCTTTCCCCATCTCTGTTTTATCCATCCCCTACTTAAAAGCACCATTCTCCCCACCCGCTTCCTCCCCACCTTGTAAACCGACTGCGTGCCCTAAGACCTTCCCAGGATCCTCTGGGTTTCTTTGACGCCCGGGTCATTCCGAAAAGCCTTCCCTTTGGGGGCAGATAGCTTAATTAAAAGCCATCCAGGAAGGCCGACGCCAGGCCTCTTCCCCATTCTCAGTGGGCTTCTCTGGACCCCTGGTCCCAGGGCTATTTTTGGGCAGGAACGCACCGGAACGGAGTTCCGGCTGGCTCCCGAGTTGGCCACGCCCAGCAGGAACTCATTAGCATAATAGGCCACACCCAACAGCATCAGAAACTCATTAGGATTGGCCTAACATGCAAAGGAGTCCCTGCTACAAAAAAAGGCCCTGGGTTTTGACAACAAACAAGGTAAACAGAATAAGAAGGAAAAGGTGGGTGTGGCTGGATGACCACACTTCTGGCAATAGGGGCCTGCGGCCTAATATGCTAATGAGCTGTGGTGTCAGGGGTGTGGCCTATTATGCTACTGAGTTCCTGCTGGGCTTTTTCTATAAAAAAAAGCCCTGCCTGGACCCATACAGCCCAAATAATATCAGACCAAGCGGGTTCTTCTCCTTTTTAAAGCTGGGAATGGGAACAGGCCTTGGGTGCGGAGCTGCGGCGGAAAGGGGGGGGGGAAATGACAGGACGCACCACAAAGGGAACAGAGGATGCCTGTGGCTCGTGTCTGATCTTTTACGTGTGCTCCTTTTTCTGCTCTTCCAAGCTTCCTTTGGCTTTAAAGCTTCCTTTCCTAAAAGAAGCAGCCGCACATCTACCGGAGCCAGGCGCATTCCTCCCTTCTCTCCCCCCCCCCCAGCTGCTCCATTCTGTGCCTTCTCTTTCTCGGTGGCCCACTAACAAGGGTATGGGTTGGAGTTTAGTGCTGGCAGCAACCCTCTGTGTGACAGTGTACTGATCTCTGTTTTGTCTCTCTCTCTCTCTCTCTCTCTTTTTTTTGATACCCGTTTGTGTTTCTTCCTTTCCCCACTCCTCCTCCTCCTCCTCCTCCTCCTCCCCCCTCTCCTCCCTGCTGTCTGGATTTCAGAAATCCCGTAAGGTAAAGATAAGTATTATGGTCCTCTCCTTCATCTCACCCAGCACCGACGCATCCTCTCTCTGCCTCCGCTCCCTCCATCCAAACGCCAGTAACCTCTTCATCGTCTTCACCCGCCTGCACTTCCCATCTCACAAAAGTCGCCGGCTTTTTTGTTTCGTTTCTCTTTTGTTAGACTAGATGCTTTATTTCGGCGGGTATGTTTTGTTTCCTCCCCCCCCCCTCCTTTTTCTCTCCCTTCCATTTCAACGAGTTGAGTCATTTTCCATTTGTAATGTCATTGAGCATTAGATAGCCTTTTAACGCGGATGGTGTGCGTGTGTGCGGGGGGGGGTAACGCCATCACTCGGGGCCAGAGGCGATATTTATGGGAGGGGGCGTGCTGTATAAAAAATTGTGTGGGGGGACTTAGGAGGACAATTCATTTTGTTTCAGTTAGCTGCCCTCTCCATGGAAATGTTCACAATAACAAACTCCGAATCCCATTTGGAAAAAAAAATCTAAAACATCACTAAATAAGAAGTAGATAAATGAAATCTTAAGTAAAAACAACGAATGCCTTGATGAGGAACAGAGTTTCCAGCGGGTGCTTGAAGCTTAGCAGATCAGGCATCAGGCAAACCGCTGCAGGGAAGCTCCTACGATTGTGGGGCTATCACCCAAAAGGGCATGCCGCTAATGACCCTCCACCTGGCCAATAGAAGGTGAGGGCATGGATTGTCGGGCCGCTGGTGCGGCAGGAACCCCACAGAGTTGTTTTATCCATCCAGAGCACCTAGCCCTTGTAGCACTGGTGCCAGTGGCTCTCTAAGGACTTCCGACTCTGTGAGGACTAACTTATGGTCCACCGGGGCTGCATTCAGATGTCACTTTTACCTGACATGAAAATTCGATGTCTGGCTTGTTGCTGGCTCACATCCACGTCCCTCCGTTGCTGTACTCTTCTTGCACGGAGAATCCTGGTGAGCAAGTTGCTCCAGTTCGTTTGCTAACTGAAGTTATACTCCACCTTCCTCTGCGAGAGTTGAGGTGGATTACAGAATTGGAAGGACAGTTCGGTTCAGGTCCAGCCGCACCTTACAAGCCACAAGAGTTTCAGGGTATCAGCTTTGAGAGTCTAACTTCCCTTGGTCAGACACGAATAAAGCGGAAATGGAGATCTCTTGAGTCCTTTTATCCTAGTCAAGCCTGTAGCTACTGTGGGGCTTTGGGGGGCTCTGCCTTCTTTCTTAAAGCCCCACAAGAATTTCTCCTGTAAATGCTTTTTGCAATCATTTTTAAAGGCATGCACTCCTTTAAGCAGAGTGGGGTGCTGTAGTTGACTAATTCCCGCACTGAGCAAGGGGGTTGGAGTAGGTGACCTCTAGGATCCCTTCTCTGTGTCAAGAAACTGGTCTCCGTTAAGAGAGTCTTTCTGCCTGTTAGCCTTCTTGACTCTAGAAGTCATCACCTCCAACTACCAGCTTGTCATCAGAAGTGTTGCTTAGGCTGGCAGAAGGGATTAACTTGCAGCAGCTGAGAACTGTCATCTAAAGTGTTTGACAGCTTGCAAATTAGAGACCTCTCCTGGTAAAAGTTTTGTATTGGCTACATGGCTTTTCTTTCTGCACTGAGAACTTCAGCCCCACCAGAAAAAAAAAATCTGCCCCACAAGCCACAAAATCCTGGCTACGGGCCTGATCCTAGTCAGAAGGTGGGAGGGGTGTTGGAAAGAATTCTTGTAGTAAAGGGTGCAGAGGTGCAATGCAGTTTATAATCCGCTTGATTAGAGCGGAGGGGAAATGCTTGGGGGCAGAAATTTAGCATCTGCTGTGAGAGAAGAAGCCTGCGCCCCTATTCAGCTCCGGGCAGGTCCATTGTTCTGAACAATTCTGAAGAATTGGAAGGCAGTGCAATAAAGAGAGTACAATACGTACAATAAACAAGGCAATGCAAACAAGGAAATACGCATCCATATTCTGACCAAGGGTATCTGAAGCTTGTTCTCTCGAGAGCTTATACCCTGAACATCTTATTGGTCTGTAAGGTGCCACTGTGCTCCAATCTAGGGTAATCCATACTAGTAAAGGTAAAGGTTTCCCTTGCTCGAAAGCCAGTCGAATCTGACTCTAGAGGGCGGTGCTCATCTCTGTTTCCAAGCTGAAGAGCCAGCGCTGTCTGAAGACATCTCTGTGGTCATGTGGCCAGCATAACTAGATGCTGAGGCTCACGGAATGCTGTTACCTTCCCACTGAAGCGGTACCTAAATATCTACTTGCAATTTCTTGCTTTCAAACTGCTAGGTTGGCAGGAGCTGGGACTAGAGATGAGAGCTCACTCCATCATGCAGCACTCGGGTCTCAAACTGCCAAACAAAACAGTGTAATACATACAACAATCAATGGGATAAAAGCATTATACGTACCACACCAATGCAGACAAAAAAAACTAGATTACAAAAACAGAAAGCAATGCAATAAAAACAATATAATGCATACAACAGCAAAAACAGACAATGCGATAAAATGCAGTTACCCATAACACACAAATGCGACCACGCGGGCATACTGAAATTAGTTTCCCCTTTGCCAACTGGGATTCTAAACCGGAGCTGACGCTGAATCCTGAGTGCCTGTATGGAGAGTAACTTTGGTTAACAGAAGCTCCTGCCTTTGTATGGCACAGGTAGCTGCAGTCAGTGTTCCCTCTGAGTTAGTGTGAGATAGCTCACAGTTTTTTAGCCTCCAGCTCGCAGATTGTTGTCTTAGCTCAGGAAGGATGGGGCTCCAGAGCAAACTGATTTATGCAGCAGCCAAATCACTCGCTCACAACTTTAATGCCAGTCGCTCACGACGTAGAATTTCTGCTCACAGGACTCCGCAGCTTAGAGGGAGCCTTGGCTGCAGTTAGTTTCTAACCAGAATTCCCTGCGCAAGAAGGGAGGGGGAAGGAGAGAGGGACAAGGTGTGCAGGTGAGCTCGGGAACAAGTCCAGTTTGTGCGCACCTGGGCTTAAAACTGACATCTGAATGCAGCCTGTGGGAGATATTTTTTTGCAAGTGAGATGCCAGAGATTGAACCCTGGGCCAAGCGTGCCCCGAGTGGCAGAGGGCTCAGTGGGGGAGTGGAGCACTGAGCGGCCTGTAGCCCAGCCCAGGAACCGGAGCAGCCGGGGACCTTGGCAGAGGAGAGCCGAGTGAGTGATCTCTGTGTCTGATCCTCATCCTCTGTTGATGCTTCCTTTCTTCCTCTGCCGGAGCTCCCTTCGGTTTCAGCACATCTTCAGAAAGAAGCCCGCTGCATGGCTCCAGGTCACCTTTGAAGGGGGTCGGGGGGTCACAACAGGGGTGCTGCTCAATCGACCCAGCCCGGCCAGTGGGTTAAAAGGAAAAGTGGAAGCAGAGTACAGGGGCAAGCCCTGGTCAGAGGCCAAGGGTAAGATAATCTCCGTCCCTATGCTTTTAACAGCAGCGCGGGCTGGGCAAAATCACCCCGCAGGAAAGCTTGCCAGCACCGTGCGTGGATGCTGAGGAACAGCCCGACCATAAATGAGACAGCTGTTAGAGAACCCCAGTCTCAAGCTGGGCAGGAAACGAGGAGAAGAACCCAAAAAAATAAGCATAAAAATGTGTGGGCCCTGGGTTCGGGCTGTGCCATCCTGGAGGTATCCCGTATACCTTTTGTTACCATTAGTTCTTGGGGATACACCAAGACGGGCAGCCGTGTTAGTCTGTCGGCAGCAGTAGAAAAGAGCAAGAGCCCAGGAGCACCTCGAAGACTGGCAAAATTTGTGGCAGGGGAGGAGCTTCCGTGAGTCTTTAAAGTGTTACTGGGCTCTGGCACTTTTCTACTGCATTAATTCTCCTTTTCTACTGCATTAGTGCTCGGTTCTTCCTTTCAAGGGGAGTTCTGCACTCTTCGTCCCAGGGTGGGGAGACAACGGCGTTCCAACCTGCATTGTCTTCTTTCTCACTCCCCCCTCCCCTGTTCTACCTGTCCAGTTACCTCATGCCCACCTGAACCTGAAGGAGCCCCTGTATGTTGGGGGAGCGCCCGATTTCAGCCGACTGGCCCGTGCCGCAGCCATCTCCACCAGCTTTGACGGGGCCATCCAGAAGGTAAGGCGGCTCGTCCATCTCGCCGTTCTCGTCGTTTTGGCTCTGTCCAACTCACAGCCGTGGCTACTTGCGTTTGTTAAAATCTCAGTTAAAAACAACACCATGGTGGTCCGTGTCTCTATTTCTTGCCCGTTCAGAAGAGATTAAATACAATTATCCCTCCGGTGGTGAGATGTCCCCATTGGGTGTGTTTGTTCATCCCAATTTTTGTTCAAAATAAATAACTTTTATTTATATAATATAGCAACAATTTACAGTAGCACATGCTATTAGGAAACCACTACAATAAAAACATAATTAAAAACACAAAAAGTACAAGAGCAATAAAACCAAACAGCTATTCAGTATGTATAGCTCTAGCCTTCAAATGATATCTGGAAGTGCCTTTTTCAGCTTACTGTGTCTTTCCATACATTCAAGAAAGGGAAACCAACGTTCCAAGAAATTTGAATGGAACTCTGGATTCTCTGCCAAGGATATAACGTCTGATACTTTTGTCCATGACCAGGTATTCCCATAAATTATTAAAGCACATAACCGACGAGGGTTGCTTACTATTTTTCCGGTGCCTCGCCACTAAAGTCTTGTTCCTTTTCCCCCCCTCCACCTCTGTGACGGCTCAGATATCCATAAAAGGCATCCCGGTCCTGAAGGAAGAGAGCATCCTCAGCGCCATTGAGATCTCCACCTTCCACTCTCACCCGTGCACCCAGAAGCCGAGCCCTTGCCAGAACGGGGGCATGTGCAGCCCCCGCCTGGAGAGCTACGAATGCTCATGCCAGAGGGGCTTCTTTGGTGCCCACTGTGAAAAAGGTGAGGACGGGGTTGCCTGGAAGAGGACGGGGGACCAATATCCTGGTGGTTCTTAGGAACAGAGCCGAGGGCCGTCGGGGAGGTCACAGTTTTGGGGACAGGGAGAGACAGCAGTCAGTTGAATGGGACGTGAGTCGAATAGGCAAGCAGGAGTCCTGGACCGATTTCCCACAAGCTGCTGCTCCGCCCTTGCTCTTCCCTTTCCCCCGACTGTATTCGTCAGTTTCCCACTATTTGCTGCGCGGCCGCATTTTGACCCGCAACTTCGCCCGATTTCCCCCGCATCTTCTCGATCCTCAAAAAAAAAATGATGAATACAATCAGGGGGAAGGGAAAAGTGAGGGCAGAGCAGTGGCTTGTGGGAAATCGGTCCTGGTCTAAACCAACAGTCAGAAAAGCCAGAATTTCACATATTTATAGTTTGAAATATTTGTCTTTTATCCTTTCAAAAATTTATGTCCCGCTTTTGGACCCAAAAAGCAGCTTACAGCATGACTTAAGAAGGTCAAGCCACACCATAAATAACAAACCCGGGAACAGTTAAAAGAATAATGCAGGAAAAGCAAAAGGGAAGGCGAGACTAAGCCCCAGCGGCTGAACTCGATTCTCAAATTCAGTCCATCTCAAAATCCTTCTGAAATAAAATGGTCTCGACCTGCCGTCTGAAGGTTAACTGCATAATCCCAGGGTCATTCTGCAGGCAGCGGAGTGGGTGGAAGTTGCTTCGACCAGAGAGAGAGAGAGAGCGAACCAAGATTACTGTTTTATAAACCTCAGATGTGGGCATGTGCCACGTTGGAGAACAGGGCTCAGAAGAGCCACAGGTGGCATGTCAGAGAGCCACAGGTGGCTCCTGAGCCACTGAATGTCACTGGCTTAAATGGATAAAAACGGCTCTGTGCCCATGAAGAGCTTACGAGTTTACTTTTGTCATTGAAGAGGGCTCGCAGGGGATAAAGACGGATTAAAGACGCAAGGAGAGCTGCAAGAAGGTGAAACATAGCCGTTGGAGAGAAAAACAGTCAGGAATGAATATGAGTTGAGAGGGGGCAGGAGGGGAAAGATGTAAGGCTCTCCGCCGTCCAGGACAGGTGCTCTTTGGTTTCGAGTGGAGGGGGACAGAAGTCACCCCCACATCCCACAGTCTGTAGGGTGGCCACAGTTGCCACGGCTGCTCCTTCCCTCAAACTGCACATGGAACGTGCATGGTCCAAAGCCACCAACCATCTGAAATGCATTTAAGGATGTTTAGACCCTATGCTGGCAGTACATGAGCGTGTTTCCCATGAATTCCAGCCTGGAAGTTTATTCTTCCGCCCGAGCTCTGTAACCACCAGCCTTCGTGTCCTTGTCTCCCTTTCAGTCATCATCGAGAAAGCAGCAGGAGACTCAGAGGCCATCGCCTTCGACGGCAGGACGTACATCGAATACCACAATGCCGTGACCCAGAGGTAAAGCATCTCTGTTGGACGTGGGAGTGTTGTCAGAAGCAGGCAAACCTGGAACCTTTAAAAATTGAGAGTCCGGATGGGCTGCTGTGATATTGTTGTCCTCGGAGTGGAAAGGACACGCCCAGTCTATGATTCAGCTTGCTGAGAAGGCATCTTTCAGGTGCCAGGGGCCTGACCCAGTAGAACAAAGTTCCCCAACAAGGTGCCTGTTGTCACCACAGTCCCCGCTGACACCTTCCCTGGGAGGAGGAGGAGAGGAGATTGGATTTATATCCCGCCCTTCACTCAGCGTCTCAGAGCGGCTTACAAATTCCTTTCCCTTCCCCTCCCCACAACAGACACCCTGTGAGGTGGGTGGGGCTGAGAGAGCTCTGACACAAACTGCTCTTTTTCGAGGACAGCTGTGCCAGAGCTTGTGACTGACCCAAGGTCATCCAGCCAGGTGCAAGTGGAGGAGTGGGGACTCAAACCCGGTTCTCCACTACACCAAACTGGCCCACCAAGTGTTTTTAGAAAGGGAGTAGGGCCAGTTGGGGATTTCGTCCCAAAGGCTTAAGAACATAAGAGAAGCCCATGTTGGATCGGGCCAGTGGCCCATCCAGTTCAACACTCTTGTCACACAGTGGCCAAAAATACCAGGGGCCATCAGGAGGTGCAATGCTCCCTCTAAGCTGTGGAATCTTGTGAGCAAAAATCCTACTCTGTGAGCTCCTGGCATTACAGTTGTGAGCAAGCCATTTGGCTACTGCAAAAATTGGTTTGCTCTGGAGCCATCCTTCCTGGGCTAAGACAAAAATGTGTGAGCCGGAGGCTAAAGAACGGTGAGCTAGCTCACACTAACCCAGCTTAGAGGGAACACTGGCAGTGGGGCTTCTGACTGGAGATCAGACTGGCTGTGCAGATTTTCACGAAATTGCTTTGGTGGCGGCGGCGGCAGCAGCCACCACAGCACAAGGATCTTCACTGTACGGCTGAAGACAAGCTGTGTGTATGCAAAAAACCAATATGTCCGTCCTTAAACAAGATGTTCATTTTAAAAGCCATCCTGTTAAACTGAGCTTCTGCCTGAAACGCTGAAGGTTTACTGCTAGAGTTGTGCATGAGTTCCCTCCCTGAGATTTTGCGGTTGGCTCTACCTCTTGGGCAGGGCTATTTTTGGGCAGGAACGCACAGGAACGGAGTTCCGGCTGGCTCCCAAGTTGGCCACGCCCAGCAGGAACTCATTAGCATAATAGGCCACACCCAGCATCAGAAACTCATTAGGATTGGCTACATTAGGGGTGTGTGGCCTAACATGCAAAGGAGTTCCTTCTACAAAAAAAGGCCCTGGGTTTGGACAACAAACAAGGTAAAAAGAATAAGCAGCAAAAGGTGGGTGTGGCTGTATGAGCACACTTCTGGTAACATGGGGGTGTGGCCTAATATGCCAATGAGCTGTGCTATCAGGGGTGTGGCCTAATATGCTAATGTGTTTCTGCTGTTGGGTGTGGCCTATTATGCTAATGAGTTCCTGCTGGGCTTTATCTACAAAAAAAGCCCTGCTCTTGGGGCAGCCGTGTTGTGACACACCCGCCATCCAGTGTCGAAATTCCAAGGCTGCCCACGAGCTGGAAAAAGGTTGGGGACTCCTGCTGTAGGGCGTGGCCTGGCCAACCTCCCTGGAATGTGGCGTTTTGACTGTCTTGGAATCCCTTATGCAGTGCACAGCATTCCGGATTCTATAGGTCAGACTCTTTAGTAGAAGAGAAGAGACTGGGTTTATACCCCGCCCTTCACACGGAGTCAGAGTGGCTTACAATCTCCTTCCCTTCCCCTCCCCACAACAGACACCCTGTGAGGTAGGTGGGGCTGAGAGAGCTCTTTCCAGGACTGTCCTTGAGAGAACAGCTCTGAGAGAACTGTGGCTTGCCCAAGGGCAGCCAGCACCTCCATTGGAGGAGTGGGGACTCAAACCCGGTTCTCCCAGATTAGAGTCCGCGCCCTTAACCACTACACCAGACTGACTCTCTGAAGAGAGAAGACTAGTAAGGTGGGTGGCTTTGCCCTGGAGCAGGACTGTGGAGTTGATGAGTTTTCTCAGCCCTTCTAGCTCCTGAACTCTGTGATTCATTAAAGCCACACTGCGGCCATCATTCCTTTCCAGCAGAACCACAAGCTCATGGATGAATTGTCATCTCTCGCAGCGACAGAAGGTTGGCAGGTGAACACACACCATGCCCCTTCTCAGATTCAGCCTTAATTGCTTTTTTTTTTGTGGCTTTGCCCGAGTCCCTGCAGAGGAGACGGAATGCAACTGTCAGTACCGTTGCCCAAAACAAAGGATTCAGTCTTGTTTTTAAAACAAACCCCTGAACGTACAAATCTGCTTTGCTGGATCAGGCCAGTGGTCCACCTAGCACACCATTCCATTTCCAGCAATGGTTCCGCCAAAGGCCTGGGGGGGGGGGGGGGCCACACATAGCTCATGAGAGCTGTGACCTTCCCACATTGTTTCTCTGCAGGGTATTGGTGTTTTAAAGGTACACACAGCCTCTAGACAGCGGCAATAGAACCCGGCCATTTAGATTTCATGTCTAAAACAGCAGCATCAGTGCTGCCCTCTTTCTCCCACCCATCTTGTCTGCGCACCATTCTGTGTGTTGTGTTCTCTTGTCTGATGAATAGTTGTTTGGGTATGTCTTGGTCTCCGCTAGTTCCTCTTGTCTGCGTAACCTCTTTGGGGTAGACACCTCCTTATATATTCTCTTGCTAGGGTCAGTGCTCAGCTCAAGAGAATTCCGGGCATGGATGACTATGTAGACTGCCACTGGTTGACTTTTTGCAATCCCTTTGGAGAATGTGTGTTTTTCCTTCTCTTGTTCTGTTCATCTGTCTGTCTGCGTCTCTGCCTCTCTCTCTTACCCCCTCCCTTTCTCCATGTCTCTTCTCCTGAATGTCTTTGTTTCTTTATTTTCAAGCCAACTGACCAATGAGATCCCGGCGTAAGTAGAATTCCCACTTCCTTCGATTCTCCTCCCCAACACCTCTTCACCCTGGTCATTCAGCCACCAGTCCACCCCACACACTCCCCACTGTGGCACACTTGCGGATAAGAACAGAAGGCAAGAAGTATTTGGGGAGGGCAGGGAGGTCCTAAAGAGGCCCCATGGGGTTACCATCCTCCAGCCCTGACCTGGATAGCCCAATTTCATCAGATCTCAGAAGCTAAGCAAGGTCGGCCTTGGCTAGTATTTGGATGGGCGACCTCCAGGGAATACCAGGAGCGTGACACAGAGGCAGGCAATAGCAAACCTTCTCTGAAACGTCTCTTGCCTTAAGAACAACAAGTCTAGCTCGCCACCTAGTGGTGCTTAACCCTAAAAGAGCTGGAACTCCCGGCTGCCAGACAATCTTAGGATCTCCTGGCTATTCTACACACAGTGCCATAGAATGGGGGATGGAGATCTCCCGAAATTACAGCTGATCTTCAGGCTACATAAATCACTTACTTGCTTACTTGTTTAAAATATTTATTCCACTTCTGCTGGAGCCAGTGGCTGCTTCAGAAGGTGGACTGCATGACATTGTACCTTACCGAGGTTCCTGTCCTCCCTAAACCCCGTCCTCTCAGGCTCCACCTTCACATCTCCAGGTATTTCCAAACCTGGAGGTGGCAACCCTAAGTCACACTGTCAATGCGCTTCATTATGTGTTACCCTTTGCCTTCCTCCTCCAGTTATGCAACCAAAGCTATGGATTCCCATGGCTCAGGTTTCCCCCCCCCCCAGCTCCCAGTCTCTGTAATATGGGGATCCTTAGCTGTGTCCTTTATGCCAAAAGGATTAAGGCAGGGGTGTCAAACATAAGGCCCGGGGGCCAAAACCGGCCCTTCCATGGCCCTTATGTGGCCCGCAAGCAACTGATGCAAGGGAGGGAGTGCTGGGGGGAATGAGTGGAGCCACTCCATTGTAGCTTCAGCATGGCAGAACAACCTCGTCTGCAGCAGTCAAGCATTGTGGGAGCATCTGCCCAGCGCTGCGCTGCTGCCTCTCCAGTCCGCCTATGTGGGTTCCAGATTCAGATTCAGACACCTTTAATGGCATAATGCCTATGTGGGTTTTCTCTGTACCCACCCCCCCAGCCCAGCCCACCCCCACAGCCCATGGGGCCTTGCAGTGAGGATACACCAACTCGGAGCTTACCACCTGCTGTCCTTTATGCAGTTTTACGTTCTACATCCTTTATACAGTTTTACGTTTGATGGCATATATGGCCCGGTCCGACAAAGTGACATTTATGTCAGATCCGGCCCTCGTAACAAATGAACTCAACACCTCTGGATTAAGGTTCCGCATCAGAGTCACCCGTACTTTCTACTCCTTAGTGCTGAGAAGATGTGCTTAGGAACAGGCAAGCAGCCGCCTCCTGTAATCTCAGAAGCTAGACGAGTTGCAAAATAAGATATCTGTTATTCACCGAGCGACACAAACAGAGTTTTGGGCCATTGTAAATGTGTTTATCTCACTCGCCACCACTGCTCTTTCCTACACCTCCGGTCTCGTTTATTCTCACACGAACCTCGTTCGTCGAAACCTGTTGGATGAGCACTCGGTAACTGTTACTGGAAATATCCCCCAAACGGTTTTTTTGTGCATGCATACACAAAACACAGTCACGATGAGCTGTATCCAGATCACAAAACAGTAGAATGCCTCTATACCTTTTCTGTAGAAACCGTGCAGAGCCTCCTTCCCAAAGCAATATATTCTTAAGAGGAGAAAGAAAGGAAGAAATTGCTCTGCAAACATTACGTTGATAGCTGTGAACCAGCCGGAGTGGAGGTTAAGAGTCTCCATACAATCTTTGCAGCTGGAAAAAAAAACACACCGCTGTGGACCTCAAAGCCAATTTTGAAAAGGGGAAAAAAATAACTTCCCTCTGTTATATCACTCGAATAGAAATGCGTTAAAACTGCAAGGTGTCCTTGTGTGCCGGTAAAAGGAGAATAGATGCTGGGCTTTACGGACATGATTAGAGCCAGCCGTGAGTTGTTTCAAAAGGCTTTTTATTCTGGGCTGCTTTCCCTGAAACAAGCGCCATTGGTTTACACAGACGGGGAATTGTGGGGTGTTTCAGGTATAACCCTTGCATTGCAATCTTGGCTCATCCCCCACCCACCCCCCGCCCTGCCCTCGCATGCTTGCATTGGTCTCAGAGAATTCTCCTCGGCATCCTCGAGATAATGACATGACATCGTACATCCCAGCCACTTGTTCGTAGAGCCCCTGATTAATTAGGAGCTCGTTCTCTTTTGCTTTCTGCCTGCTCTCCCTCTCCCTCTGATTTAACCCTTTCACCTGTGCCAACTAACCCAAGACGGAATGTGACTTAAAGGGTTGCGATTTCACGATAACCCCGAGACACAAGCTTTAAGCCACCTGCGCTGTGATGAAACGGGGGTATATCAGGAGCCCCTAATTCAGAGAAGCCCGAGGGCTCTTCAACTTTCACCACGTACCCTTTTGTTTTACCCCCTTCGTCATGTCAACAAATCCAGGCCAGAAGTGAGTGACAAGGACGTTCTTTAGAGATGAAAATCAGGCTGAATCGAGAGCCCCTCGTTCTATCCGAGGGCTCTGTTCCTTTCATTTCTGTTCCTCCGATTATCCCTTAAATATGTAAACTAGTTAGAGAGTATACAAGTTTAAGGGGCTGTTATCTCGGGATGTCCAGTCATGTGCCGAAGCCTTAATACACCCAGGGGGTGCTCTGTCTCCCATTCACAAGATCCCAGGTGTGTGTTTAGAAAGAGCTGGTGGGATCTGATGTTTCGTGGGAGTGGAGGGCATTTCCCCTTGCCAGTTGGTTCACTGTTTTCCACGGCCGCTTATTGCACGCCTCCCCTTTCTTCCTGCTTCTAAGTCCTGAGGCTATGGACAGTCCTCTGGATGTCAGGTGAGTCTCTCCAAGGCTTCTGCACTTGTGTTTCTGGTGTCCAGATGTTGCTGCTGCTGCCGCCATCTTTTTTTATTTAGCATTTTGCTTTTGTGCATGCATGGTATATCATTGTGACATTTTTTTAAAAACTCCTAAAGACTTGGCACGACATAGAGACCGCATGGTAAAACCCTCCCCCCCCCGACTCGGGAACCAGGATTCTACCACTGTTTCAGTTTGCGACCCCTCTTTAATGGGTACCGTGTTCGAAACAAGGTGGAAATGCAAATCCGGATGGTTTGCGTATGCAGATATTGAAACATTTGTATTTGGCGAAGGGAGCTTTGAAATCTCATACGCTGTAACTCTTGATGGTCTCTAAGCTGCGACTGGAGTCGAATCTGGCTCTTCTCCTGCAGAAAAACATGGCCACCCTCTGAAACTATCTTTGCGAATACTGTTTCTTGAAGGGAAATGCTGACATACACAAATAACATTGTCTTAATCTCCCAGTTATCGTAAAACTGTGGGTGAATCTCAGAATTTGGGCTGTAGGGCCTCGATAGCAGGGAACTGCTAGCCTGATCTCCACAGTGCCATTAGTGGCTGGAGGGCGCATTGCAGTTTTCCGGCTCCCAGAAGATCAGGTTACATAAGTAGGGATGTGCAAAAAAAAAGGTATTTTTCGGGTTTGGGTCATGGCGCAGTCCCAGGAAGGGGAGTGGTACCTAGGCCATTTCAACACTGTGTAAGTCCCCTTGCCGACCCAGGTGATGTGCAAACCTGGCCCTTGTCTACATAAACCCATGGAGATGGGTATTTCCAGGGCTATTTTTGGGCAGGAACGCACAGGAACGGAGTTCCGGCTGGCTCCCGAGGTGGCCATGCCCAGCAGGAACTCATTAGCATAATAGACCACACCCAACAGCAGAAACTCGTTAGAATTGGCTACATTAGGGGTGTGTGGCCTAACATGCAAAGGAGTTCCTGCTACAAAAAAAAGCCCTGGGTCTTGACACAAACAAGGTAAAGAGAATAAGAAGCAAAAGGTGGCTATGGCTGGATGACCACACTTCTGGTAACATGGGGTTGCGGCCTAATATGCTAATGAGCTGTGCTGTCAGGGTGGGGCCTAATATGCTAATGAGTTTCTGCTGTTGAGTGGCCTATTATGCTAATGAGTTCCTGCTGGGCTTTTTCTACAAAAAAAGGCCCTGGGTATTTCCATGTACCTAAATTTCTGAAGACTCAAAAGGTTCTGAATGTTCCTCCAGGACAATGCAGTATTTATGAATTCTGTAACATGCTCAAGAAATTAGAAGTCTGCGACTATCGAATTGCTTTCCAATTGGTTGTTTGCCTTCACGTGCCAGGGGGTATGTCGTTCACCAGGATGAACAAGCTTAATGAATTTGGGAGTTTGATTTCCATTAACTAGATTGCTCTAATGAGCAACCGGACGGACTGCCAAAAAACCCAAAAAACACCCCAGAACCAACAGCCCTGCAGCCGCTCCTCCTTAATAAAACAGCCGTCTGCCACGGTCTCCAGAAATAAGAAAAATAGATTAGGAGATACTTTTAACAGGGATGAATATCTGGATTCTGTGCATGCAGTAAGTAAGTTAAAGCTAGCACCCAGTAAGCTAGTGTGAACCCAAACTCTTTTTCCTTGACTAAGATCATATAATGGTGTCCAAGGGACAGTATGGTGAGGTGGAACTTGCACATTTCTGTCCCGTTCTAAGAGCTCTTTAATAAAAGTAAATACCAAAAAAAACCCTGGTTAGTGGCCAGCTGAATGCTTCTGGAAAGTTCCTAGGTAGGGCGTGAAGGAGACAAACCTCCCCTATTATCTGTTGTCAGCATCTGGGAACCGGCAGCCTGGATACCCTACCTGAACCTGCTGAATTTCCAACCTCTGACTATGAAGGGTATACTGCATTTGAAGCTGGAGGCTCAATTAGCCATCATAACCTTTGATGGACTTCTATTCCACGGATTCCTTTCACTATTGGCCATCACAGCATCTCGTAGCCATGAATTCCACATGCTAAATGACCATATTTACAAAAGTGCTTTAGGACTTCCCATTTATCCCCCTTAGTAGTTCATCAGTGTGGGCTCTGCCAGTAACCACTGTCCTCCTGTTTCCTTGCTGTGTCTGTGGAAGAATGAAACTTGTTTTCCATGCTGTTGTGTGTCTCATCTTGTGTGGTACACGTGTGCAGTGTGACTTTGTGGCAGTGTCTGTCTGAATCCCCTTTCTGCAGCTCCTTGGCCTCCCACATGCCTGTTAAAATAGCCCTCTCCTTTCTGTCTAAAAAGAGTCGAACGCCTAAGAATAGTGGAGCTCTTTTGGCAGTTGCCTTGGCCATTTCAGCTTCCTTGATGATTCACTCCAGACCGGAGATGTGTGTGTCGGTTCTCACAACCACTCTGAAGCAGAAAAGTCACTGAGAAATTGCTTTCCCGCTCAGCCTCCATGTGCTAAAATACGATGTTCTTCCATTAGGATTTGTCATCGACCGTTTTCCTCAGCACTGAGGAACAGTCCCATAATGGATCTGAAGAAGTGTGCATGCACACAAATGCTCATGCCTTGAATAAAACTTTGTTGGTCTTAAAGGTGCCAACGGGTCTTGAACTGTGTTCAGTCACAGAATGGTGACACTTCTGCTTCCTTAAAAGAACAAAAACATGGCTGTCCTGTGGTAGAAAAGTTGCTGAGGTGACTTCACGTCCCTTTTAGCATCCGTGTGGTAAAATGTGGTGGTGTCCTGTGGTATTTTGTAGAATTTTCTGTCACGGACTGTATTTACCACGTGGATGTTGGGGGGCGGTCACCGAGGGGTGACTTTTCCCACATAAAAAATAAACCGGAATGGCAATTCGAACCCATCTAGATCCCACCAGAGCCATCTGATTTTGCTGTTTGTCCCTGACTGAAGTCAGCAAGGCTGCAAAAAGCAAATTCGACCTCTTGTCCAAGGACGTGGTTCTGCCCCTGGCATCGTTGCACGTTTGTTGGGGGGGGGCACACCATTCTCCACCTCACACTGACAGTCCCTCTTCTCTTGTCGATGCAGTGAGAAGGCCCTGCAGTCAAACCATTTCGAACTGAGCATCAAAACGGAAGCCACGCAAGGCCTCGTCCTCTGGAGTGGGAAAGGGCTGGACCGTTCAGACTACATCGCCTTGGCTATTGTGGACGGCCACGTCCAGATGACCTATGACCTCGGCTCCAAGCCTGTGATCCTGCGTTCGACTGTTCCCGTCAACACAAACCAGTGGATCCAAATCAAAGCCTACAGGTGCCTACTCGCTGTAGTTTAATTATTCAGGGAATTTATACGCCGCCTTTCCAGATACCTGCTCACGATGCCTCACAGGCAGGCCAGGACTCCTGCCATAGGTTACCCCATTCCTTTTCTGCTCTTGGCAAGGAGAAAAATGTGGGGTGGGAGGCACAAATGTAACATTAGCACACCACTTCTGGCAAAAAAGTGGACATGCCAGAAACCCTATTTTTGACCATGACCTAGGTCAGGGTTGTCAAACATGTGGCCCAGGGACCGGATCAGGCCCCCGGGGGGCTTCCATCAGGCCCGCAGTGGAACTGGCCGTCTCCTGCTTCCAGTTCTGCTGCTGCATCATATCTTGCTTCACCAGACTGTCTTAATCACTCCGCCATTTCATGTTTTAACCTGGGTCCTAGACCCAGAACTCTGAGCGTGAGATTTCTGTGGCCAATGTCAATAAATCAAAAGTAGGTTTGCAGCTTACAGAGCTCATGTTTTAAGCATCTTTGTGTTTGTGTCCTTTATAAAGTTTATATCTCCGCTACCCGGCATTACATTTTATGACACACATGGCCCCGGCCCAACAAGGTCTCATTTATGTCAGATCTGGCCCTCGTAACAAATGAGTTTGACACCCCTGACCTAGGTGGTACTGGGCTAGCAGGAAGGGGGGTTGTTGGAGATGTATTGAAGGTGCCCTTCTAAGCTTTCTTGCCCTGCGGAAAGGGAACGCAAAAGGCATTTGAATGCCTTCTGGAGGCAATAAAATGCCTTCTGATGCACTTGTTGCCCTGTCCCTTGAAAGGAAGGGATAGAAACAGGCTCAAAGCCTCCCCCTTTAAAGACAGGCATTCCGATTACTTTAATTATTATTTAACTGCCCCCTTAAAAATTTAAATGCCACTGAAACAAAAAAATCCTGGCAATATGGGCCTGGACATCATTATTCTGGGAGCAACGCTCTAGGATTCACCCTCAACAATATGGTTTAATCAAAGAGTTTGGGGTGAGCACTAGAAGAAGGAGAAGAAGAAGAGATTGGATTTATACCCCGCCCGTCTCAGAGCGGCTTACAAACTCCTCTCCCTTCCCCTCCCCACAACAGACACCCTGTGAGGTGGGTGGGGCTGAGAGAGCTCTTGACAGAAACTGCTCTTTTTAAGAACAGCGCTTATCAGAGCTACGGCTTGCCCAAGGTCATCCAGCCAGGTGCAAGTGGAGGAGTGGGGAATCAAACCCGGTTCTCCCAGATTAGAGTCCGCGCACTCAACCACGACACCACACTGGCTCTCTGTCACCCTTGGCATAATGATGTAACTTCCTTTTTCCCACCGGAAGTGATGTTGCACACTGTATGCCTGCCTCTGCCCCGCAATCCTTCTGGGGGCACTGGCTGCAGCTGGGAACCCGAGGAGCTCACAAAGTAAACAAAATACGATCAGATCAGATCAGAAATTGATTTGCAATCAAAACAGTGAGGTGAGGCCTGGTGCTTTTTCCCTGATGGGCTAGCTTTCTAGAAGCAAGGTGTTTGTGACTAGTGGAAGACTAGATCTGGCCCTTTCTCCCTTGCATGCTGGCTCTTCCTTGGGCAGGAAGCTTTTGCTGCAAAGGGATATTTGAACATTTCCTGCCTTCCCCCAGAAGCGGCACTGTCCCTGTAAGACTGTACAGCTTTAATCCACGTCCTCGTCTCCCCCTGTTGCTCCGCTCCTGTTGTCCAGTTGTGCTGCCGATTCTACAGAAAGCCTCTCCCTCCCTCCCTGCTAGCTCAGCCACCTCCCTCGGCACCAAACGAGGCCAAGACAAGCAGGGGGTCACCCCTGGAGGCCTCCTGTCGATCTGTGACCTGCAAACTCGGCAGGTCACAAAAACCCCTTTGGATGAGTAACGCAAGCAGCCTTTGGGCCGAGTTGCAATCCTCATGCCCAGACTTGCCTGCTCTGGCTTCTAGGCGGAGGTCACGGGAGACCATCGAAAAGTCCCTGCCCCTGGATTTTAACGCCTGAAACTTTGGCAGTCGATCCAGGCCCCCTCCCAGTGCTTCAAGCTATCAGCCCTCCTCAGCAGTCAAGCGGATTTTTATTTATATCAGACGGAGGCAAAGCAGAGCAGTCGGAATGCTTAGGCGTTTCTGCTGATGCCTCCGGTGTTTGGGGGGAAGGGGGGTCGCGTGTGGGGCCAAATCAGCCCAAATTCTGCACGTGGATTTGATAAAACAGATGTCATATGTTGACTTGCTCTGCAGGTCTCCGACTTGTTTAGAACAATTTTTAAAAATTAGGCAAGGGTTGTAGAGCAATTGGGGTGGGGGTGGGGAACAGAGATAGGATCCTTGGTCATCCCTGGCCAAAATAATTTGGGAGTAGTTCCCTGCTGCTGCAGGACAAGACTTGCTGTGTTTTCAGAAGAGCCTCTGGATAAAACTTCCATCTTTGGCTTCTGCAAAGATCAGACCTGTTTGATGACCGGGCTGTGGCTCGGTGATAGAGCATCTGTTTTGCATGCGGAAGGTCTCAGGTTCAATCCCCGGCATCTAAGGACCAGGTGGTAGGCAATGTTCCCTCTAAGCTGTGGAGTCTCGTGAGCAAAAATTCTACTTGGTGAGCTACTGGTATTAAAGCTGTGAGTGAGCGATTTGGCTGCTGCATCAATTAGTTTGCTCTGGAGCCATCCTCCCTGAGCTAAGACAAAAATGTGTGAGCCGGAGGCTAAAAAACTGTGAGCTAGCTCACACTAACTCAGCTTAGAGGGAACACTGGTGGTAGGTGATGGAGAACTGCTACCCGTCTGAGTAGAGAGTTCCAACCTTGATGGACCAAGAGTCTGATTCCACGTAAGGCCCCTTCATGTGTTCGTGTGATGACCGTGCTGTTCTCTTTGTGTTTACCCTCTCCCGGTAGAGTGCACCGCGACGGGTCCTTGCAGGTCGGCAACGAGTCCCCCATCACGGGCTCCTCTCCTCTGGGAGCAACGCAGCTGGACACGGACGGGGCCCTTTGGCTGGGTGAGTTTGTCTAATCTGGCTTCTGCATTAGCTTGGCCTCTGGCCACGCCACCCGTCACAGACTCATCACATAGTCTAGTTAGTAGAGGCCATGTAGTGGACTTCTGATCTAAGGCTTGGTGGCTTCCAGTACTGGTGGAGGATGCCCTAGATCTGGGTTCGGAATCGGATTCTGCAGTGAGAGACCAGTTGTCAGTAGCTGCAGAACACGAGGCAGGAAACTGAAGTCAGAAGGCTTTTATAGTCCTTCTAGGTCACGGGGAGGAAGCAGCCAGCCTGGATAGTTTCAAGAGAGGAGTGGATGAACATCTAGAACTTTGTGAGCCAGGATGCTGGACTAGATGGACATAAGAACATAAGAGATGCCAATGTTGGATCAGGCCAAAGGCCCATCTAGTCCAACACTCTGTCACACAGTGGCCAAAACCCAGGTGCCCTCAGGAGGTCCACCGGTAGGCCAGAACTCTAGAAGCCCTCCCACTGTTGCCCCTCCCCAAGCACCACAAACACAGAGCATCACTGCCTCAGACAGAGAGTCTCATCTATACCTTGTGGCTCATAGCCACTGATGGACCTCTGCTCCATATGCCTATCTAATTCCCTTTTGAAACCATCCATGCTTGGAGCCGCCACCACTTCCTGTGGCAGTGAATTCCAAGTGTTAATCTCTCTTTGGGTGAAGAAGTACTTCCGTTTATCCGTTCTAACCCGACTGCTCAGCAATTTCATGGAGTGCCAACGAGTTCTTGTATTGTGAGAAAGGGAGAAAAGTACCTCTTTCTCTACCTGTTCTTTCCCATGCATAATCTTGTAAACCTCAATCATGTCACTCCTCAGTTGTCTGGAGTAGAGGTCCATCGCTGACTATTAGCCACAAGGTATAGATGAGACTCTCTGTCTGAGGCAGTGATGCTCTGTGTTTGTGGTGCTTGGGGAGGGGCAACAGTGGGAGGGCTTCTAGAGTTCTGGCCTACCGGTGGACCTCCTGAGGGCACCTGGGTTTTGGCCACTGTGTGACACAGAGTGTTGAACTGGACGAGCCATTGGCCTGATCCAACATGTCTTCTCTTATGTTCTTATAAGTTCTGCCCTGACCTGGATAGCCCAGGCTAGCCCGGTCTCGTCAGATCTCAGAAACTATGCAGGATCAGCTCTGGTTAGTACTTGGATGGGAGACCACCAAGGAAGCCCAGGGTTGCTCCACAGAGGCAGGCAATGACAAACTACCTCTGTTCGTCTCTTCACTTGAAAACCCTATGGGTCTCTGTCACACTCACACACACATAATAATCTCAGCTCCAAACTACACAAGACCCACAACCAGTGTTCCCTCTAAGCTGAGTTAGTGTGAGTTAGCTCACAGTTTTCTAGCCTCCGGCTCACACATTTTTTTCTTGGCTCAGGAAGGAGGGCTCCGGAGCAAACTCATTTATGCAGCAGCCAAATGGCTCGCTCACAATTTTAATGCCAGGAGCTCACAAAGTAGAATTTTTGCTCACAAGACTCCACAGCTTAGAGGGAACGTTGCCCACAACTGGTACTCCAGATGTGCGAACTAGCCATGGAAAAAGCCACCAGGTGTCTGATCTGGCATGGGGCTAAAAGTGCTGAGAACTCTGCTCCCTGCATACCGTTCTTCTGATTTAAAATGCTTCCACCTGGATTGTTTAAAGCCTGCTAGGGCCGGTGCACTAGGCCTCCCTTTTTCTCCACCGGGGCTTCAAGCAGACTGGGGTGGGGATTTTGGATCAGGAATATTAGAGAGCTGGCTAATAAGAGGCCGCGAAGAACTCCCGGGCTTGTGAGTCATGCCAAGAGTTCATGGAGCAGAAATACACAAAGCCCTGAATCAATTTCCTGTCCACTCTGTTCTCTTATCCTTTTGCAAGGGAAGAGGGGTCGTGGATGAGACAGACGCCTCTGAAAATGGAAAAATTCGATTCCGGCATCACCTTGAAGGCTGACGAGCTTTTCCAAGGTGTAAGCTTTGAAGAGGCAAAGCCCCCTTTCATCAGAGCTTTGACTTTCAAAAGCTTCTATCCCGGGAAACCTTTGGTCTCCGAGGTGCTACCGGAATCGAGTCTCGCTGACCGAGACGGCTACTTTGAAAAGAGAAGCATATTTGCAGGGTTAGCAGCTAACTGAGGTGGAGGTTCATGGTGAAGAGTCAAACTCAGGTGGAATTAACTCTTGGGGGGAGGCCTAATGCCAGAGAGGGGGGCACCGGACACCCACCAGGTGGGAGAATCCCAAAAAGTTTTAAAGACGAGTAATGATACTCGTAGGAATATATTAAATATATCGAACATGTAAACACGTACAGCACTTCAGAATAAATGTAATGTTACATTTATTTATTTCTTCATTCATTCATTCATTCAATTTATACCCCGCCTTCCCTGCCAAGGCAGGCTCAGGGTGGCTTACAAAGGATTGAACACAAAAACAATTATAACATAGGTGAAACCATAGAAACAGTCTGATATTATAAAGTGCTAGCTAGCTGTAAACTAATACTCAGAGATGGCGGCAGCAGCTATACTAATATAATCTCTGGTCTCTGGTTGTGTGACTTAATGATGTGCATTATTACAAAGAGGGCAATATTTGTAGGTCTTGATACGAATAACTGGGTAACATCACTGAGCACTTTATTATTGTTAAGAATGTTGTTTTATTCTGTTTTTAATGTTTTATATAGGCACGTGTTGCCCTGCTTGTGAGCCACCCTAAGCCCATTCGCGGGGGGGGGGGGGGGGGGGATAAAAATATAATAAATAGATTTTTTAAAAATACATTATTTCGAAGTGCTGTATGTGTTTACATATTCAACGTACTTAATATATTTAATATATTCCCATGAGTATCATTATTCGTCTTTAAAACTTTTTGGGGAGAGTTTCCGCCTTTTCGTTTGTAGACCTACACCCGGCCCTTCCCAGGTAGTTTTGTGGGTGGGGGGGAACCCGGCTGCCCAGCCCATTTGTCGGTGAAACGCCCACTCTGCCGGACTGATGGTGTGTGTCCCCTTTTTTTCTTCCCCCGTGTGGTCTCGCAGGCGGACTAGAGAAGCTCAGCGTGGCCCACAAGCTCCCCAAAGCCTACAGCACCGGCTACGTCGGCTGCATAAGGGACGTAATTGTGGACCGCCAAGAACTGCACTTGGTGGAGGACGCTTTGAACAACCCCACCATATTACACTGCTCGGCCAAATGAGACGGCGACTGACTGACGGGCCCTTGCCTCCTCCCTCCCTCCCTCCCTCCCCCCCTCCCGTCCCCTCCCACTCCCCTCCTTTCCTCTCTCTCTCCCCTCCTCCGCCTCCTGGCTATTGCTGTAATTATTTTCTATTTTTGTAAACTTATTGCTTTTTATATTTTTGTGGGGGAGGGGAGGGGGGGAAGCAGGGAGAATCGGAGGAGGAAGACGAAACTTTGGGGGGGGCCTGTTTATTTCTGGTTACTCGTTGGGTTGCGACGTTCTCCCACCCAAGCCAGCCGGGACTCTCGAGAAGGAGCCAAGCCCCTCCCATTCAAAAACCTCCCGGATATGACCAAGGGAACAGACCAATCGTCTCCCGCCCCCCTTTGGATGTCATCCTCTGCTGTAAATGTCATTCATACTTGAAACTCTCTCCCCCTGACCCCACCGGTTCGGGATCAAAGTCCTCAGAGAGAAAAACGAACATTTCTCGGCACTGACCCGACGCCTTCGAGGAAGCGAAAAGACGACGCTTGGATCTGAGCAAAGACGCGGGAGTCTCTCGCGTGACTTTGGGAGGGGGGAGTTTACGGCCGCGAGCACGAGCGGGCACGTCGGGGCAACCGTTAAGGGCTCCGAGGCAAGCGGGGCCTGTTGAGGAAACGGGTCGAAAGTCCTCCGAGGAGTCTCACCTGATTTTTGCTTTGCCCTTAGTCTAAACCTTAACTAGTCTTGCTATTATCCTGTACTCACAATTCAGGTGACAAAAGGCTGGATTTTGGGGGGTTTTTAACATTCTTCCGGAGCAGTGAACTGAGGATTCTAATATAGTAGTGACGATGGGCCCCACGTCTGGATGTGTGCAAAATATAAAGTTGTGAGTTTATATGTAGTGGTCCAAGGAGGGTGGCAGCCTTTCAGTGTGGGGCTGGTACGGGGAGCAGCAACGCTGTCACAGTGCAGCCGGTCAGAAGGCGGTGTTTTGAATTCGCACTCAGCTCTTCATAGACTGCTGGGGAGCGCACCGAAGTCTCAGCAAACCTCCTGACGGGATCGTGCATCTTCTTTCGTTTTCCCTTTCGTAGCCTGGTTAAATTTAGATGTGGGGGGGGGGTCCCCCCCAAGAAAAGGAAACAGCAAGTTTTTGGAGCCATCACTTGGAGTGAGCACTGTGTGGCTTATGGTTGTTTTTTTTAAAGAAGTACCCTCATTGCAGAGGCTAAGCACCTGGGGAAAGCCATGACCCCATTACCTTACCCGTCACCCCATGTGCAGTATCATCAGAGGAGGTTAAACCATAGGGTTGCCAGGTCTTCCTGGCTGCTAGCAAGGGGCCTCCCAGCTCCTCCATGAAGATCTTCTGGAGTGTGTGCCACGATGATGTCACCAGAAGTGACATCATTGTGTTTCCAATGTTGGGGGTGACACTCTAGGTTCTGGGCAAAACTCTATGGGGATTTTTTTGGCCTCCAAACCACAGAGTTTTGCCCAAAGCCTAGAGCGTCGCCCCCAACATCGGAAACCTGATAATGTCACTCCCGGGTGGTGTCATCACGCCAACGCTGGGAGGGAGCTTCTTGGAGGTGGAGCTTCACCCACCGGCCAGCTGGGCTGTGGCAGGCTGGGCCCCACAAAATCGGGGGATCCCCCGGCCCCACCAGGGGGACGGCAGCCCTATTAAACCATCTAAAGCAGGGGTTTCCCCAGTTTGGCCCCTGAGGGCACCGTGGCACACGCCAACATGTTTCCTGGTGCCTTCCAAATGTTTTTAGAAAGTGAGCAAGGCCAGGTGGGGCTTTTGCCAAGCAAGGCTTCTGATTGGCTGCTGGAGATTTGATTGTCTCTCTGGATGTCTAAAAATGTTGCTTTCTTCGCCGTGTGACTGACAGTAAGCTGCGGCGACCATCTTGTGGCTGGATCTCCCTCCTGCGGCGGCCATTTTGTGGCTGGCTCTATCTTCTGTGGCAGCCATTTTGTGGCTGGGCCTGCCGCTCTGTGACAGAATTCCAAAGGTGCCTGCCGGCTCAAAAATGTTGGGGACCCCTGGGCTAAAGTGGCAGATGTGCTCCCACCTCCCCGTGGAAACTTCCAGAGCATTGTGCCGCACCAAGTGGGGAAGGAGTTGTTTGGTGCAACAGCTCCACCGTGTCTCTGCTTTGCCCAAGATGGGGTCCCTTTCATGAGGCCATATTCGGCTGATTCCAGCCTATAGCCATTTTTTCCTCCTTCCTTATCTTTACGATGTGCATGTTCAAGGTGAAGAGGAGGCAGGCCTAACTGGAACTTTCTGGAAGGCTCCAAATCAGTAGCCTCAGAGATGGCTCAAGACCTTTTGGGCGCCTGAGGTGGAAAATCCAAATGGCGCCCCTTCCCCCTCTCCATGGTGACAAACATGTAATAAAAAAAAGATTCCTAAACTGCCTTTCTGCTGCCATTCAGATCTGCTGCCTGAAGCAGGATACTTCACCATACGAGGTCGGTAGGTCTGTGCAGAGAACTCGATGGCAAACCACCGTCGCATCTCAGCAACCGTGTTTTGTTGTCTTAAAATATGTCCTCCACGCTCGGACGTGCTCGAGAGCAGCTGTGAAACCCATTTCCACACGTTATTTTTATCCGGGCATGTCTCAGCACTGCGTGGCCCGGCCGTTCTTCATTGTTTACAACAACCTACCAACAAACGTACGGTTTAAGGCCTGTGACGTATTGCAGGAAACTGATCCTTGGACACGCTGTGTGTCCCGGCCTTCCCCCAAAAGAACCGTTCCTAAGAGCCCACACAGTGATGAGACAGACCCTTAAATAGGACATTCTGGAGCGCGCTCTGGCTAACTGCCCTTCTCAGATTGTGGTATTTGCAAGTCCCCAGTGTTCCCTCTAAGCTGAGTTAGTGTAAGCTAGCTCACAGTTTTTTAGCCGGTGGCTCACAGACGTTTGCCTCAGCTCAGGAAGGAGGGCTCCAGAGCAAACTAATTGATGCAGTAGCCAAATCACTCGCTCACAACTCTAATGCCAGTAGCTCACAAAGTAGAATTTTTGCTCACAAGACTCCACAGCTTAGAGGGAACATTTAACGTCTCTCGCCTTGAAAATCCTATTCGGTCAGCTGTGCCTGGACAGCACATTTCGCCCCCACCACACTAGGCAACATCCATTTCAGATTTACCCGATTTCAGATGGGTAGTTTCTGGAAGGGTCAGTGGTGTTCGGGGTCCAGTGTAATGGATCCTCGCCTCCTTGCTGCTGAGAGCAGTCATGCATTTCAGGCATCACCACCCCAAACTGGCCATCAGGGTATTCCTGGTCGCATTTTAGCAGCAACCTAGAGACCAAATGAATAGAACAGGATCAAAGTTACAGACTTTCAGGACTTTGCAGAAAGGGCCCAGATTCAGACACCAAATGTTATTGGAGATTCTTATTTTCATGAGTAGGGTTGTGCTAGGTCAATGGGGGCCGCTGCTACCATAATCCCCATGGGGAGGCAATAAACCAGGAACAAGGAAGAAGATGTTAATCTGCAATTTAAAAAAAAAAAGTGATCTGCTTCCATCACTTAATTCTCAGATAAATGCACACGATCAGCACCTGAATCATGCCAGGAGTATCTGTGGTCTTCTGTCTACGCCCGTGCGCATGTTTGTATGCACAAAATGGGTTTTGTTCAGGAAGAAGGCCCATAAAGCTTTCGGAGGGAGAAGGGTGTGCACGAAGCACTTAAAAACAGCCACTGTGTTTAGTTTTGTCTCTGGGCAAATGTTTCCTCTCCATCATCGCAGGAATACGTTGCCCTGGTTGTTTTGGCATCTTGTTCAGAGTAAATCTGAGCCGGCCCAGTGGTTTGACGAAAAGGGTAAGTTAAGCAAGAGAAGAGCCCTGTTCATGCATGTTACAGAGAGTGCATATACATGGAATCATAGAGTTGAAAGGGCCACACAGGCCATCTAGTCCAACTCCTTGCTCAATGCAGGATCAGCCTAGAGCATCCCTGACAAGTGTTTGTCCAGCCGCTGCTTAAAGTCTGCCAGGGAGGGGGAGCTCACCCTCCCCAGACAGCCGATTTCACTGCTGCTCTTACTGTAAATCCCCCCCCCCAATATCGAGCTGGTACCTTCCCACCCTTAATTTTAACCCATTATTGCAAGCAGTGTTCCCTCTAAACTGAGTTAGTGTGAGCTAGCTCACGGTTTTTTTAGCCTCCAGCTCAAATTTTTGTCTTAGCTCAGGAAGGAGGGCTCCAAAGCAAACTGATTTATGCAGCAGCCAAACCGCTCGCTCACAACTTTAATGCCAGTAGCCCACAAAGTAGAACTTTTGCTTACAAGACTCCACAGCTTAGAGGGAGCACTGATCGCAAGTCCTCTCCTCCGCTGCCAAGAGGAACAGCTCCCTGATCTCCTCTAAGGGACAGCCCTTCAGATACTTCAAGAGAGCCATCCTGTCCCCCCTCCACCTCCTCTTCTGCAGACTGTACATTCCCAAGTCCCCCAGCCTTTCCTGATAGGTCTCCATCCCATATCTGTTTGTAAGCAAGAGCCAACGCACATTCGCTTTAAAAACGAAGCTTGGGGACCAAAAGCAGGTTAGGCGTGGGGGTTGAGTCATGCATTCCGCTCTAAATGCATTGATTGTAACATGAGAATTACTCAACGTGTGTATAAAGAAAAGTCAAAGGTATGCTGAACATGGGTTTGCGCTGGAACCCTTTAGCTGACATTGGTCCAAGCCACTGCAAACTTTCTTCAGAGCAACTTTCTGCAATGCAGAGTTTGCTGCAACAGACACACAAAATATGTCGGGGAGAGGTGCCGAGGGCAGGTGACCAGTGTTCCCTCTAAGCTGAGTTAGTGCGAGCTAGCTCACAGTTATTTAGCCTCAGGTTCACACATTTTTGTCGGCTCAGGGAGGATGGCTCCAGAGCAAACTAATTGATGCAGTAGCCAAATGGCTCGCTCACAACTTTAATGCCAGTAGCTCACAAAGGAGAATTTTTGCTCACAAGACTCCACAGCTTAGAGGGAGCATTGCAGGTGACTGGTCTCCAAAAATTGCCGCT